TAATAAGAAAAAGTTATATTTAATGAATAAATTATATTTAAATTACAAATCATAGTAATGTAAAAAATTTTGAACAAAATAATATTACTTAATTAATTGAATGATGTACTCTACACAATTTATGTATATATAAAATGAAAAATAATATTAAAAATATTATAAAACTTTCGTTAAAAATTATTTTTTATTTAGAAGAGCATTAAAAATAAATAATTAAAAATTGATTGGGAAGCACAAGAAATATGTAGTGAAAAGTATAAGAACAACATAAACATAGGGGTAAAAATATCTTTTGATTTTGAAAAATGCTTTTGCATAAGGCATAAGCCATAAAAATTAGCTTATGACTTAAGTGATTTTTTAAGACAAAATGACTTATAACCAAAAGTAACGCCAAATGTGATAATAAAACCTAATCTGTCTTTTACTCCCTAAAATTACTTTTGCCCTCCCTAATGGCTTAATCAAACAGACCCATTGTTGTCAGTATCATTAATTGTCTTTTTGGTGGGCATAGAATTTCTAATGCCTAAAGCATGTGTGGTCCTTATTAATGAGTATTAATTCTCTTCGGACGGTGATAGAATTCTAATGTCAACATAAGCATAGAATTCCTTTTTATTGGAGATAAAATAATTTTAGGAAAAATTAGCGAGAAGGACCTAGACAAGATAATTAGAGAGGATCATAAAAATTATACTTATTCAAAAGTACTAGATATTAACATATAAATTTAAATTTACTAAGTTATCCCTAACCACACCTCCTAAATTTCCTCTCACATGTCCTATTTTTTTCTTACATTCTGTTTATAAATTAAAACTACTACCGATAGATAAATTTTATTAAATTAAACAGAATTTGTCTCAAATTTTACAAGCTTAAATATTTATTGTATTATTCAGTTAGTACTAAATTAGAATTTTATTTTTAAAATCAACACAAATTTTAATTGAAACCAAAAGTTATCTAATTTGGTAAAACTTGAGATTCTTTTATAATTATATATGTTAAAAAAATTACGTATGTCTAGAAAATAAAAGGAAAATTAAAGTAATTTTAAATAAATCAAAGAAAGTTTGCATAATTTATTTTTATTTTATAAGAAATTTATGTAAACTTTGAATGTTAAAAATACATAAGTTTAATTTTTTTTTAATGAAAAGAATTTCATTGATATAAGTCTGGGTTATTTACTTATTTATCTAAATAGGTTATATCGATCCTCAACTAGACGGGATGAGCAGCCATTGATTGACCTCTACTTTTTCATCCCCATGTAAAGTTGTTAATTCATATTTATCTAAAAACATTAGACGGAGTATTTCAATTTGTTAAGAGGATGTTTGCAAACATCCAAAATTTTTTGTATTTTATTATCAAATGGGAAAAAAAAAAGAAGTTAGTTAAATATTAAGAGTCAATATAATTTTTTATTTATCAAGTTTGTCTTGATTTTAGTCTCTCAAACTTCGTTTTATTTAAAATATTAATTTTTGTAATTTAATAAAAATTTGAAATAATTTACTATTTAAAGGACAAAAACCTATAACTTAAAATATAAAACATCAAAATCAAAATAAGAATAGTTTTAAGAGATCAAATATTATAATAATATTATATTAACCCGACCGTTAAATTCTAATCAATGTGATTCCACCAACTCCTATTCTTCTGCTTTTTTGGCCGGTGCTTCTATGGCTATAACACAATCATTAAAAGCATCTTGTTCCTTTGTCGTTTAGTTTTCGTTTTTGTAAGAAGCACCATTTCCATAAGAAATAAATTTTTAAACTAGTGTTTTTATTTTTACTTTTATATATGTCATTTATTATCTTTATGTGATAAATTTTTGCGGATTATTTCTCATATACTTTCGTTACAAATAACAGTATACGTATATTGTATGTCAATGGCTAGTTGCCTGAACAGGAACGTCACTTGCCATGCGCCCTTGATATGTATGAATCTCTTATTTTAAAACTCGCTCATCCGCGTAAGAAGTAGAACTGTAAAAGTGAAACATTATCATTAATTATCCCATCGATCTCTTATATTTTAGACCAAATTTTTTAATTTTAGAAAACTTCTATTTTGGACAATTTTTTTCTTTACATGCCCATATATAGCATGTTATGTTTGGGCTAATTTGTTTACATTTTTTTAATTAAAAATTCACTTATTTTTCCCCCCCAGATAATCACTCATAAAATTTTTTATCATATTTGTTAAACTTTTAAAAATAATCGGAATTTGAAAGAAGAATAAATTATAAGAGAACCTTGATAACAATATATATGGAGATACACAAAGACATTATAAAATATAAAAATAATTAAAAAAATATTTTTAATGAACAAAAATTCCCAATGATATCATATATAATATCTTAGGAGCTGTTTGGCTATCATCCTAAACCATGGTTTGGGGACCCAAACCATGATTTGGGAAAAAATCAACCAAACACCCTGAAAAAAAATCCAAAACCATGGTTTTAGATGAAGCATGTCTGACTTGCTTCTTGCACAAATTATTTGATCGTTGGTGGTGGGCTCAGGGGATATGACAGAGAGCAGGCCTCAATTATTTGCTATTTTTTCACTCTTCACTCTCAGGGTGTGTTTGGATGAAACCAAACCGTGGTTTGGAAAAGTGATTCTGGAGAATAGATTCTGGGAATAATAGATTTTATGAAAAAGTGATTTTGAGAAATGAGAGTGTTTGGATAGTTGTTATCAGAAGCACTTTTTATATATACAAATTACTAAAAAAAAGACATAGGTTAATATGATAATTACAGAAAAAATAGATTTTATGATATATTTTAATTTGAAGGAATAAAATTGTTAATAATATATTTTTTATTAACATAATTAATAATACATAAGATAATATAATTAATAAATAATTAATATGTATATATATTTATAAAATATAAGATTAAATATGTTTATAAAAAAAAATAACAAGATATATATCCTATAGGCTCTCATACTCTCCCTTTTTTTTCCAAAAGCAAAATTTTTTTGCTTTTTCCAAAACCATGGTTTTGGTTTTTGGGTGGGTGTTTGGGTGATTTATTCCCCAAATCATGGTTTGGGGTGTCACCCAAACACAGAGTCCTTCACTCTAAAGAATAACAGATTCATTTTCCTATAAATATATATACATATTATTTATTTATTATTTACATTATTTATGTCTTATTTATTATGTTGGCAAAATATATATTAGTAACAAATTTATTACTTCAATTAAACATATATTACAAAATATATCTTTTATGTAATTATCATTTAAACTTATATCCTTTTTGGTAATTCTACATATAAAAAATCACTTCTAACAACAATTATCCAAACACTCTCACTTTATCAGAATTACTTTTTCACAAAATCTATTCTCCTAAAAAGTTATTCTCCAGAAACTATTCTCGAAACCATAGTTTGAGCTTATCCAAACACCCCTTAAAATTACTAATAAATCGTTTTTTATAATCGTAATCGAACACAATAATTTCTGCTTTTTATAAAATCCCAGCACAATAAATTACCTTTTATAAATTTCTAAAACATCAGAAAATGACTTACTATTTTTTTTTTCAAATTGAAACAAAGGGATTACCGCATGCTTGGATTGGAGAAAATGTCCAGAGGAAAGGAACCATGAGAAGAAAATCAAAATATGGGAGGAATATGGAGTTTTCTCTTGGTAAGAGAAGGAAATAAAAGTCAGAGTAAGGAAAAAGAAGAGAGAAAATGTGGGTGAAACCCACCACATTTTTCCTCAAATTTTCTTTATAAATATGAAAAGACGTTGGGAAAAAATATTCTTTCACTAAGCGTCTTTATTCACGTCATCTTCTCCCTCCAACCAATTTTATTTAGTGATCTTCACAAATAATATGGAAAAAAAATCATTTCTTTCAATTTATTTTTAAATTTATACAAATATGAAAACTATATTTTAAACACACATCTTTGAGTTTGTTTTCTTTCAATTTATTATTTGATCCTCAAAATATGTTTTTAAACATAAAAAATTATTTGATTTTAAAATATACAAATATGAAAATATATTATCTTTAAATATTTTTACCTGATGGATAATATTTATATTTGTATAGTTTTGTTGTAAACCATATGAAATATCATAAATCTAGTTACAACGATATTATTGTCATCGTCATGACATTTGCCCATTTTCTTTTACCCCTTCATCAAAATAGGTAGGGTGATAACATTATTTCTTAAATCTCATCTTCTTCCATTTTCTTTCCTTCTAATTTTTCTTTCCATTTAAATAGAGCATTAATGAAAAGGTCCGTGACTATTTAAGCATAAAGTTTTCGCTTGAATGTGTGCACATGAGACATATGTTTATTAAAAGTTAGAATTGAGTGTTAATTTATATCAATGTAAAAGACATCTTTTAAAAAATTAGATTAAAGCATGTGTGAATGTAAAAAAAAAAATGTTTTTGAATATTTTGGCTGAAAACTTTGACAATGCTCCAATTGACTCCACAGTAGGTATGTATGTCTCTCTCTCTATATATATATATATATATATATAAACTACTATTTGCATGTAATTTCAAATATTTTAATTGTGAGACACCCCTGTGGTCAATGATACACCTAATTTTTCCTTGACCATTGGTGATTATTTAAACAAAGGGATTTCAAAGATCTTCATTTCATAGTTTAATATTAACTGGTGGCATATATCACACACAGCCAACTTTTATCTTGAAAGGCCATGCTTCTATATCTCCTGGCCATCTATGTTAATTGCATCTGATACCAAGCCCCCTTGAAAGACGAACTTCCTATTTCCGACCACTGGACTCGCATCTGAATCTGATACCCTCATAATTTATTATTATATTTCTTAGGGAAAAGGGAGGGAAGAAAAAACTTGTTCTCCCACTTTTTCTCTCTCTTTCTTCCTCAAGGTCTCTTCTTGATATTCATATAAACATAAAAGCAGACCGAAGACCAACCGAGAAAGTTAGTTCAAACCCCCATTGTTGCTGATTCAGATGAACTTTTCTGATGCATGCATATGCATGTTGCTGAAAACAAGCTTATTTCCTTAAAGGTGAGCTTCACAGAACTCGATCTTCTCCATCTTATCTTCAATCTTGCCCAGATAGTTTCTTAGATGGTCACTGATATTTGTTTGCATTTGCAGATTTTTCAATAGAAGAAGAAAGAGATCAGATAGAAGAGATAAGTGATGATCCAATAGTGCAAGGTGTGATTCTGTCTGAGATTTCAAGTTTGAGCTTCAACTTAATTAGGACTGCAGATTTAGTGCAGCAAATTGAAGTTGATTTGTTTGTTAATTATTGGACTACGACTTAGCTACTCTACTGTATCCAGAGGTAAGAACTGTCTCTTTTTCGGGTTTTTTAAAATTATTTTAGACTGATTTAGAAGTACAATTTAAAAATAGACTTTCCACATCTGATTAAAAAAAAGAACATAGTTCTTGCGTAGTGACTGAGATAGGAAATTATCTCTTTCTGTATCAGTTCAGTTCCATATCTGATTGGAGAAATATATAACCGGATTAAGAATACGATAAAAGTTGTAGCATGATGAAGCACTTTCTAGGCATAACAGATCCTTAAAGCCACTTTTTCTATCGATGATATAACTAATATACGAAAAAGTCACTTTTTTGATTAGACGAGGCTATAGTTATTATATATTCCATGGTTTTACCAACAAAAAAAAGAGTTAATTAATCTGTAAATCCTTATAGTTTCAATCAATTTTGAATCAAGTCCCTATATTTTTTTTCTTTTTATCAAGTCCTTATACTTTTATCTATTTTTAATTACGTCCTTGTGTTTATTTTTCTTTTAATTAAGTCCTTGTAATTTTACTAAATTTTTAATCAGGTCCATGTAGTTTTAATTTTTATTTATTAATTAAATATAAGCTTAATTAAATAGATTAATACTGAAATATAAAATATTAATAATTAAATTAAATTAATAATTATATAATAAAAAAGTAATAGAATTAATTAATCCAGGAAAAAATTTTAGAACAATTAATTTTTTTTGCTGAAAAAATAAAATCATTATAATAACTCAATATCTTTATAATATTATTGTTTATAAACTAATATTAAATAATATATACTATTTTATGTTTATAGCATAGTACTATTAGAATTTATAAAATAAAGAATAAAAAATTCAGGGACTTAAAAATAAGATGAATGTATAAGGACTTGATAAAAAGAAAAATAATGTAAGGACCTAATTAAAAACAGTGGAAGTATAAGGGTCTGATAAAAAGAAAAAAAAATAAAGAGTTGATTCAAAATTGGTTGAAACTACAAGGACCTGTGAATTAATTATCTCAAAAAAAAAAACATATAATTAAGTAGGAGGCCAGAAGCCAACTAATGCCTGTCATTTTGCTTAAGCACGAGATTGTATGTTTGTTTAAGCATGAGATTCCATGTTTGATCCTCTATAGGTGTGACGGGTGTGTGAATTTCTTCTAGCGAATGAAGGATGACACAAAAAAAATAAAAAAAAATAAATGTTCATAATTTTAAGAAAAAATTATATATAATATGTAAAAATATTTATATTTTAAATACCTTTACATATGCTTTTATATGATTATGGTTTGAAAAACATTTGGGATAACTCTTAAAATTATGCATAAAATTTAAATCAAAATATCTACCTTAAAAAATTAGGAAAAAATTGGGGAAAAGTCTCCTAGTAAAACTTTTTTTTAAGTGAGAATGACTAAATCAAAGTATTCCCATCGTGCATGCAAAATTTACATAGAAATCATCCTTTTCACCAATAAAATTTTCAATGGAGAACTTTTTCCTATTTTTCTCAGAAAAATTTGCGTTTGACTTAGTTATATATATTTTGTGTGTGTGTGTGTTTTTATATTTAAAAAGTTGTATATATGTTTGAAAAACTTAAAGTAGTCCTAATTAAAATGATACACAAACTAAATACTAAAAGAGTATAATACAAATCATTCTATTTTTATTAATTAATGAAGACTACAGAATTACTATAAATCAGTAAAAAATATTTTAATAACTTATATTATTTATTTCTACTTAAATATATTAGCTATATATAATAAAGACCCATTCCCGCCATCATCATCATCATCATTATTGTTTTTTTTTTTTTTGGAGGACCCCCTTAACTATAAGATGTGTCCGCCATGGAAAACAAAAGCAAAAGCTCAAACTTGAGATTAGCCATTTAAACTCTGCCACAGGCATATGTACGAGCTACATGACAAATGCAACCCCAAAGCATTTCATTTTTCATCACAGCAATATAACTTAGGCCAAAAAAGTTGGAAAAACGCAAAGCACAAATAGCTACAAGACAAACGTAATCACGAGATCGGTGCAAGGTAGTAAACGATGGACAGTTCATTAGGTTTGTTGGCATAAATATACAAAACCCAGAAATATTTATGTTCTGCAACTACAAAACAAAACTTCATCGACTTCACAGGGCAGAGTTTGAGCAGAGCTAAGCTTCACCTTAATTCTGTCGAACTGTGATAGTAGACCAGCACCCACGAAGGAAGTCTGGTAACGATGAAAAGCGTTTTTGTATTAGTGAGTGATTTTGTTGTGGTTGTTGTTAGTTTGTATTATGTGCACGATAAAGGAATATGCCGGAATGTTGCTGTAGAAGGGAGTTCGAAATGTGGTTTTTGGGCCAATATAGAGTTAGACATCAGATTTGGCATATTGGTGGAGGAATATAGAAACTCGACATATATTTAGTAAACAGTATGTGTGATTTGGCTAAGTGCATTTGATTCATTCATTTGCCCCTTTTTTCTTCATAGCGACATTATTGGTACTTGGCAGGCGTTTTCAGGACAAAAACCTCAGCAAAGCCAACCTTGCACACGAAAAATGTCTTCTTGGAATTCAGTCCCACTTCATGTGTCGTACGAAGTTTTGGGTTGGCTCACCTTTTGTTGCTGGTCTATCAGTTTTTACCCACAAGTTATCATGAATTATCGCAGGAAAAGGTTAATTTCAACAAAATATATCAACTTGCTTGCTTCATTTATTATCTTCATCTCACAAACACAATGCTCAGTCATGCTTTTACTACCTTTTTTTTTTTTTCCACCATTCTAATTTGCCTCACCTTTGTGGTTCTTGGATTTCAGTGTTGTTGGATTGAACTTTGATTTTGTGCTGTTGAATCTCACTAAGCACTCATCCTATCTGTTCTACAATGCATCTCTGTACTTCAGCCCAACTGTTCAGAAGCAATACAGAAATAAATTTGGTCAAAAAGAGGTTATTTCCTTGTGCAATCAGCTTATATATAAATACAAACTCAAAGCTTATAGTTTGCTATTTAAAACCATTTTAATTTTCGTTTGTTTTTCAGATGATACCTGTAGCAGCAAATGATGTTGCTTTCTCATCTCATGCTGTTCTGCTCACTGCAATTTCCTTGTTCCAGATTGCTATCTATGATGTATCATACTCTTTTTTCCACTGAGCTTTTTGTACTTTTTTTTTTCCTGTTGGAATTTCTTATTATAGTTTGTTACTGTAGCGTGGAAATCAAAAAGTGTCAAAAATAGCTTGGGCAATTGTGTCTGCTGCTTGGTTAGTTGCTGCAATATGCTTCTTCATAACTCTGTTCACACACCATTGGCTCTGGCTTCTCTATGTATTCAAGTATGTTGTGCTTTCTTAATTAAATCTTTCCCCCATTTCAGCTACCTTCTAACATCAGTTTTTAATTAACTTGTTGAAATCAATCATTTTGCAGTATCATTCAAGTTTGTATGACATGCGTAAAATATATTCCCCAGGTCAGGATTTATTCCATTTTGTATTCTTCTCTTAAACGAAATTTGTATTGCAAGGATCATGTTTGTAAAACCTAATGCTAAAAATCATATTTGCATTGTACTCTGCCCTTGCTAGTTTGCATTCCTTTTTTCCCCCTTGCGTACCAAAGTGCTTCTATTAGTTAGCCAAATAATTTGATAACATTCTACTGGATGAAGGCTGTGATGAACTACAGGAGAAAAAGTACAACAGGCTGGAGCATTGGTAACATTCTACTGGATTTTTCTGGAAGTGTTGGAAACTATACACAAATGGTTATGCAATCAATAGATCAAGGTTTGTATTGAAATCTCCTTTAGCTGTAAGTGTATGGATTTTTCCAAGTGTATATCATCACAATGACAAGATTTCAAATCTCAGGTTCTCTGACAAACTTCTATGGGAATATAGGAAAACTGTTGTTATCTCTGGTATGGATCATTCTCTCACCCTAACTTATATATATAGAATATGATAATGAATTGTTAATAGTGATGTAATTTGCAATTGCAGGTTTCTGTATTCTTTGACATTCTGTTCATAATCCAGCATTATGTGTTATATCGGCACAAAAAAGGCCCAAACTCAAAGGCCCCTCTGGAAGCTGAGGTAGCCAAATCTGCTACTGATAGACCAGTGGCACAGAATGTTTAAGATTTTGTGGTGGTTCATAAGTTCAGAATGGTTTGTATGTTGTAATAAATTTGTTTTAATAATTAAGGGATTATTCCTTTGGAATACTTTGTATGTCTCACACGAGATCACCAAAGTGATTGACCAAGGTAAAAGGTAAACCATTTTAATAAAGGTTACCAAAAAAAAAAAAAGTAATAAAACAGAAGAAAAGCTGGTATAATTAATACCCAGCAGAATCCTTGGAATGCATGAAAGCAATATACCAACAGCTCCCAAAAATGAGGTTTCTAAACAATGCACATCAGATGATATAGTATCAAGAAAGAAGAAATTTGGTCTTATTCACCAGAAGTTCCAAGTAACTTATTAATACTCTTCCAGTATGGCACATACATAGTTAATACTAGGGCTACAACTCCGTGATCTATGGTTTTCAGATGAAAAGTTTAAAAAACTTTCTCATGGAACCTGAAGGATCGCTGAATAACAGGAAAATGCCGACAAGTGTTGACAAAAATTATGATTTAAAAGAGGAAGACAAACATGCCTGTTTCTATAGTTTTACTCATTCAATAATTCAGGCAATCAGATGAGGAATATTGGCCAGCGAAGCCTGAACCTTCTCCTGTGAAAATGAGAGGTCAACCATATCACCTTGCAAATACTTCTCATAAGCTGGCAGGTCAAAATGGCCATGTCCACACATTGCTGTCAGAATGACCTTGGCCTCTCCAGTCTCTCTACAGCGAAGAGCTTCCCTAATAGTTGCCGCGATAGCATGAGTAGGTTCAGGAGCTGGTATCAACCCTTCAGACCTGGCAAACTGTATTGCACCTGCAACAAAATAACAAGTCACCCTTTCTAAGTCCTTCCATAGTTACTTGCTTCTATTTTCATTCGAGTAACAGAAAACAATATTTTGGTCCCTCGATCAATAAAATACTGCCAGTGTTATCCTTCCATCCTATCACTAATCAAAATTTAACATCAAACCTAACAAATTGCTGACATAACGCAAGGCAGTACCATACAATGCAAGTCATAAATGTCCAAGCCAGCAATCCATTAAGTTTAGCATCACTTGTGTTATTATCATAATTTGATAGACTACATTAAAATAAATGATCCGGGAAGTACGAAATTGAAATTGCATTTATCAATCAAGAATCAAAATACGGTTTTCATTGAAAAACCAAGGCTAGGTAGCAGTTAATCTTTCAAATAGTGGCAATTACAATTACCATGAAAGCACTCAGTCTGTGGAATTGCAATTGCTTCCATAAATCCCAACTCATAAATATGCGACAGCAATGGAGCCATTCCATGGTAGCGCAAACCCCCTACAGAAAAGCAAAACTACAGATTAGGGCAAGGACAAAAGTATGAACTGACTAATCTGAGCTAAAATCTCTCATAATAACAAATTTTTACCGGCATGAATTGGATCAGGAACAAAGTCATGTCCAAGTGTGTGCATTTTCATCAACGGAGTCATCCCTGCTGTATCTCCATAATCATATGCATATACTCCTTTTGTTAAAGAAGGACAAGCTGCAGGTTCAACTGCTCTTATAGTAGGGTTAATTTTCTCATTGAGTTTCTCTCGAATGAACGGAAAACTAAGCCCAGCAAAGTTGGAGCCACCACCAGTGCATCCTATGATGACATCGGGGGTTTCTCCAATAGCTTCCATTTGTTGAAGGCATTCTTCTCCAATAACAGTTTGGTGTAGTAAAACATGATTGAGCACACTTCCCAGGCAGTACTTGGTATCGGCATTTTTAGCTGCAACCTCTACAGCTTCTGATATTGCTATTCCTAAACTTCCAGGGCTTGATGGATCCTTTTCAAGGATTCTTTGCCCTGCCTCGGTGACTGCAGATGGAGATGGGTGTACTTTTGCACCCCAAGTTTGCATCATCAATCTTCGATATGGTTTCTGATCAAAAGATGCACGAACTTGCCACACCTGTAATTGTTCATAACAGTTTCTGAGCTTAAACAAAATCATGTGCATTTTTTTTTTTTAAAAAAAAATTAGTATTTTACATTCACACCACCAACTTTTTTGCTTGTCTTGATGGATCAAGGATTTAAAAGATAATGTTGACGGCTTAGTAGCGTGGACAAGTGAGGTTTGTTTTCAATATTTTGGTTTTGAAGTTTTTTTTTTTTTTTTAACCTGAAGTTTCAAAGGTCTTTGTACATTGATGAAGATGAGAGGCTAGTGCAAGTTGGGCATGGAGAGGGAAGAGTAATTCACTCTAAAAAGTATTTATAGACATTTTTGTAACAGTTTAAACTTGTAAGTGGGGATAATTCTTGATATGGTATAATAGCTTTCATGACCCAGTGATTTATAGTTCTGTTGATGCCAAATATTCTTAGTTAAAATTAAGTTTTTGGTCTACCAAAAAAAATTGGGAAAAGATGATGGGGTCATCACGTGGAAAGCATGTTAGAGATCATAATAAGGGAAAATTGCAATAAAGTCCTACCCAAGAGAATTAAATACAAAAAAATCTCTTGGAATCATTAAATTATTAAGTCCTAAGGACCTCATTGCAATAAATTTTATTTGTTTTAATTACCAAATTGTCCTTATCTTTTTTTAAAAGTATGTATTGACAACTGAAAATGCAATCGTTAACAACTTAAGGTGTAATGATTAACAACTATCACGGCAAGTATTGATAACAGATTTTCTCAGCACATTACAAAAATATAATACATGACTTGTCAATACTTGCCATGATAGTTGTTAATCATTACACCTTAAGTTGTTAACGACTGCATTTCAATTGTCAATGCATATTTTTTTTTTAAAAAAAGGGGCAATTTGGTCAATAAACAAATGAAATTTATTGCAATGAGGCCCCTTGGGACTTCAAATTAGTTTGATAATTTCAAAAAACCTTTTTGTATTTAGTTCCCTTGGGTGAGATCTTATTGCAATTTTCCCTTATAATAAAACCATTTATGGACCATCATATATCAGTTAATGTTTGAGTTGACACGGTTCTTGACAAAAAGCATAGAGTCACTTAAATGGAACTGTGACTATGTTGAATGTTAACAAGAGTTGTAATCAAAGAATCAGAGATTCATTCTAGTTTCCTAGTTTAGACACACTAGAAATTTGTAGAAGTACTAGTAGGATGTTCATAACATGAGATTTTGTTATTGAACAAGTCCTACGGTCATGTGGAATAGGTTATTCATCAATATAGTGTTCCTACCTCACAGCCAAGTCCAAATATGCTACATGCAAAGGCTAATGCACTTCCCCACTGTCCAGCACCAGTTTCAGTCACAACATTCTTGATGCCTTCTTGAACATTATACCAGGCTTGTGGAACAGCAGAGTTGGGTTTGTGTGATCCTGCCGGGCTTACACCCTCATACTTGTAGTAAATTCTGGCAGGTGTATCGAGAAGCTTCTCCAGCCTCTTGGCTCTAAGTTCAACCAAGAATTATAAGATCAACTGACCACAGTTTTAGAAACAAATTTTCAGATAAAAATAACAGTCAATCGAACCTAATAAGAGGGGTTGGTCGCCAAAGACTGTAAACATCTCGAACTTCATCTGGTATATTGATGAATCTGTCACTAGTCACCTCTTGTTTGATCAGTTCATCAGGAAAAAGAGCAGACAAGTCTTCTGGCTTAACTGGTTCATAAGTCTTAGGATGCAATGGCGGAGGAGGTTTAACAGGAAGATCTGCAATTAGATTGTACCACTGATGGGGAATTTTAATTGATTTGTCAACGTCCGAAGTTGCTATTACTCTGCTGGCATTTGGTCTTACATGCACTGGCTTTACACCCAAGGCAAGATGCTGAGGCCACTGGCCATTTACTGAAGGTAGCAAGTAACAAGACGATGTGATAACGAAGCCATACTACTAAGTTGGGGAAGGTAAAATCACAGTCAACCAGAAAAACAAAACACAATGCCAATTCAATCAAAACATGTAACAATTAGGCCTCATTTTTTAACATATCCTCAAGAGTTCAGAAGTAATATAAACATGATTTGAAGAACGACCATTATGCACTACCATTGGTGGTGGAATATGGGATGAGAAATAATTATGGTTTAATTTAGTTCAAGGATACTTGAGATTTATTTGGATTTATCAGTATTTTAGCATTTTCATTATTAGAATTAATTGTTATTATCGTTGTTATTTTCATTTTTATTATTATTTTCCTATAAGTAGCTTTAGGGTTTCATGCTGATGGCCAACTTGAGAATAGGTATTGAATACATTGCAGTTATCAATTTTCTCTCTTGGCTTCCTTCTCAGTTTCGCTTTTTCTCTCTGGATTCTTCCTTTCTCTCCCTTGTTTCACATCAATTTGGTACCTCAACACCCTCATGTTTCTTCCCTTTGAATAATTCAGACTACAGCTATTTCTCCATTGTAGTGTGTAGTATGGGTTCTATAAGCATGTAAAGGAATATTGTTTATATTACTTTTTATGTACTATCAAACTTAAGAACACTACCCGCTCTTTATGATAAATCTTATTACAAAGTCCTAGTTGGCGTTTTCAAACTTCTTTTTAATGCCCACTATTACCGACACTTCAATCTTAAAAATTTCCCATTTGAAAGAAAACCTTTACAATTTGCTGCTGCTTAGTGGCTTGCATTTTTTCTGTAGAGGCAGAAGACTAAGAAACGATAAATTCCCAAGCAAGATATCCAACTACACGAGTGACAAAATCTGTACCAGCTCAGAAGACCCCAAAAGATTAGTGAATACATTTTCAAGTTAACTTTGTCACCATGGAAGCTTTTGAAAATGGAAATGAATTGTTCAAGGGAAGTCAGTCACTCTGACACTTTAACGTAGCTTGTCTCCATTGCCATGGCTTGAATTTCTTTGCTACATTCAAGTTTCATAAGAGGGCCGTCTTCAATGAAAGGAACTAGATGAGTGTATGATTGCAGTGAAGTTTCACCCTGAAAATTCTCTTCCATACCAGAGAATCGTTGGTGGAAGAGAGAAGAGAGGAGGTCAAACCTGTCTCTTTATCTCTAGGATCCGTGGGGAGAAAATCTCCAACTTTATTTTGGGGGGGGGGGGAATACTA